CTAAAAGGACCGCGTACTAATTTCTGCCTAATTGTAAATCAAAATGAAATTACTACAGAGACACTTTACCGCATCGATGGCGATCGAAAGCTAGAAACACGTGTCTCCTAGAAAGGAGCAGTTTTTTGTAGGAAAAATGTTCTGCTCGGCGAGTGTACCCGGTGTTCCGGGAGGAAGCGAGGAGGCCGCGAGGCTAATTTTCAGTGAGAAATGTCGTATCGGAAGAGAGGGAGACAGCTTGATTCTCCTTCTGGCTCGGAGATATCTTAATGGACCGAGGAAAGTGGTCCCGAGACGCGACCACCTTGCTTTCCATCCTATCGTTCGCATTTCTTTGTTCCTTTCTCGGTGTTCAATGGCCGATCGACCGGTGTTTATCGGTGCCCCGATGCTTCTGCCGGGCTCTGGGAATCGTTCGGATGATCACCGATTCGCCAAATATCCGAAGTGGAATGATAAATCCGATGGTCTTCCGAGATGGTCGCCTCCTGATCGGCTCGCTGATTGCGGGCGCTCGCGTCGCGTTTAGGAAATGCTGTTTCTTCCTCGTGAGACCGTTCCTACCCGATCTACTGGGTGGATCGGAAATCATCGCGTGAACCAAACCCATAAAACTCCGCCATCCGGGACATGTCATTAGGAATCTCCTATTGATGATACCTCCACTCTCGGTGCAGTAAATTCTACCTAATTTTCCTGCGGCTTGTAAACAAAAATGGACGATTTGGGAAGAGGAGATACGATCATTCGAGCTTTGCACCTTGCATTTATAATTGAGCCGTTTATTTTGAAAGTGGCACAAGTCACTTTACCGTAATGAAAAGTGACGATTTTTTAATGTTTATACGAAATTATTTATACCGAGAAAAATATCAGTATCCTGAGATAACAAATACAAGTAAATCTTCTCGAAAGTTAGCATCCATATTTTTAAACATGTTAAAACGCAAACCCTTAAATATATCGACTTAAAAACAAAATGACTTATGCCACTTTCAAAATAAACGGCTCAATTGTTGACAATCGGCAATTATAAGAACGAGCCGCGAGGCTCGAATAATCGTATCTCCCCTTCTCAAATCGTCCATTTTTTTCTGTATACAAATTGGAGGACAATTGGGGAGAATTTACTGGATTTTCAAGTTTGACGCCCTCTTTGTCGATGACGTTCGATACATTCTGTGTATACTAATTGATCGTCCATGAAACCAAGTCAATTCGTACGATATTTCTGTACGAAGTGTGTAAGTAGCGTAAATTGTACTGTATGTGTTTGATTTCCTTCGTGCTTTGTTTTAAATACGAAAATGAAATATATAATTTAATAAAGAATATCAAAGTATATACCCTTCTTAAACAGTTAGCTGTTTTTGACGACTGTACTCGTCATAACACAGAATTTTGCCATTTCTTCGTGGCCAAGATATAATATATAATTTAATTTAATAAAGAATATCAAAGTATATACCCTTCTTAAACAGTTAGCTGTTTTTGACGACTGTACTCGTCATAACACAGAATTTTGCCATTTCTTCGTGGCCAAGATATAATATATAATTGAATAAAGAATATCAAAGTATATACCCTTCTTAAACAGTTAGCTGTTTTTGACGACTGTACTCGTCATAACACAGAATTTTGCCATTTCTTCGTGGCCAAGATATAATATATAATTTAATAAAGAATATCAAAGTATATACCCTTCTTAAACAATTAGCTGTTTTTGGCGAGTGTACTCGCCACGAAGAAACGGCAAAATTCTGTGTTGTGACGAGTACAATTGTCAGAAACAGCTAACTGTTTAAGAAGGGTTGATATTCTTTATTAAATTATACAGGGTGTCCCAGGTTTTAATGTTCAAACTTTGTCAGTGTATTCTATGGCACAAAGTAAGAAAAAAATGTTATGTAAACATAGGTCATATAGAGCTTTATTAAGAAGTTACAACAGAAATTCAGAATAGGAATAGTAATCAACTTGCTGTTACTGCGAGCATTGGCTTGAATAGATCAGCACATGCCGTGTGTTTATGTAAGCTGTGTTTATTAATACATTTCGAAATGTCTACCGTTGTTGACAATACATGATTGACATCGATCGAAGATCGAATTTATGACCGTGCGAATTTCGTTTCCATTCTCTTTCATTTCATTGAACGAATTTTTGTTATAACTTCTTAATAAAGCTCTATATGACCTATGTTTACGTAACATTTTTTTCTTACTTTGTGCCATAGAATACACTGACAAAGTTTGAACATTAAAACCTGGGACACCCTGTATATTTTATTTTCGTATTTAAAACAAAGCACGAAGGAAATCATACACGTACAGTACAATTTACGCTCTTACTTACACACTTCGTACAAAAATATCGTACGAATTGACTTGGTTTCATGGACGATCAATTAGTATGCAACAGTAAAAACTGCTGTCTACGTGAATCTTACAGCAGATTTTGAACGCACATAAATAACCTATCACGCGATACAAAATCAAATGGTTTCGTACAGACAAATTCCTTCAGACTCGATGGATAACGAAGAATCTCGCAGACTCAAAATTTTTCCCGCGGACACTTTCGCCCGCCGCCGGCATTTTCCTCGGAACCGTAAAACAGGACATCATCGCGATGCCACCGGAAATCGCGGTAATTTTGCGCGCTCGCAAGACGGTGTCGCCGAAAGCAGTAATTAAAAGCGAGCCCCTTTATGTGTACCTCGAGAGTCGTGCACGTAAATTTATAAGATCGAGAGCTGGTCCCTAGTAATCGAGCACCCTGTATGTTCACGCTCTTCCCGATCCCAACGGCAGATTCTCGATCGTGGATCACTAATTACGCGCGGGCTATTGTTGCGAAACGCGGATTCCCAGCGAAACGAATTATCGCGTCAGGCCGTAAGACGGGAAGCTTGCGCATCACGCGACCCGGCCGGGGATTAATAAATCCATTCGGACGCGTTCCGCTCGTGACAAACGAGCCCCGCGAATTGGTATCCGCGCGGCTCGACGCGGCGAGGCGAGGCGAGGCGCGGCGAGGCGAACAGCTCGCGCTCCGTAGCCGATTCCGCGTGCCTCCGAGCCGATCTTTCTCGAAAGCGGCTGGAAACGGTGGAGATTCCAGCGGGGTACTTTCGGCCGGGAACGTTAAACGACCGGTATTATTTATGGCGATGGAATTTCCACCGGGGAACGTTTGCTTTCGCAACGATCGGGTATCAAGAGTGGCCCGTAAAATACAACTCCGGCTCTCGCGGAGAAGTTTCGAGAGAGGCTCGCGCGGTGTGGTGGTAAATACGGTGTAATCGAGGCGATTATTCTAACAATCTTCGTCGATCTTCACCCGTTCGATTCACCCCGGGTGTTACCCGGCCCGAACGCCTCGTAATAAAAGCATCGAATACTGTTTCCTCTCCGCCGATCTTTAAGACCCCGGGACCGCGATAGCTGCACGCTATTTATAGATTTCAATTTAATCCGATTTCACAATGATTTCGCGGATACCGGGGATTAATGTGCTGTGATCGACGCAACCACCCCGGGACGGACTCTCTCTTTCTCTATTGATTCTTCATTATCCGTTTCCTATTTTCCGATGGGACAAATGCGCTTCTTTTTATGTCATAGTAAACAGCGGAACGTGAGTGATTCGTAGATACAGATTTTTGAACATTCGTATCGACGCTAATCCGTTATATTTTTTTAAGATCGTTGGAATCTGCGGAAGAGGTGGTAACGTTGGAAAGAATGTAGTCGATGTCGCACAACTTACCCTTTCAATTTTTATTTCATCAAATAAAATACTTCAATAATTATTATCATTGAATATATATTCAATAATAATAATTAATACTCGCGAATCTTATTATTGAATATATACTCGATAATAATAATTAATACTTGTGAATCTTATTATTGAATATATATTCAATAATAATAATTAATACTCGTGAATCTTATTATTAGCATGCTCTGTCGCATAATGGACTTTTCTCATAAATGAAAGCTGGACACGTGGCAAATTAAAATATCCAATTCACCCCGCAAACTATTACGACCGAAACGATAGACTTAAAAGCACAGATTTTCCAACCCCGTTAAAACCTGTCACCCTAAACATTGAAAATTCAATCTTAGCAATGTTCTCAATATTCCGCCTGAACTACTGTGAATACCTATACAGTAATGTCTCCCTAACTGACGCACAGATTGTCCACAAAACTGGACAATTTGGGGAGAAGGAGATACGATTATTCGAGCCTTGCGATTCGTTTTTATAGTTACGAATCGTCAACGATTATAAAAACAAGTCGCAAGACTCGAACAATCGTATCTGCTCTTCCGAAATTGTCCATTTTTGTGGACAATCTGAGCGTCAATTAGAAAGACATTACTATACTATTGATCTTCGAGTACTCGTCAAAAATGACTATGCTCGTTAAAGTACGCGTCGCATACGATAAAGTATGTCCTCGCGAGATGTATTAACCCTTAGTGGAACAAAACTATTCATTTCCAGTTTACACACTGCCAAGTCCAGACTGTTTTTCAGACGAAGAGAAAAATATGTTACTGAAAATTTTTGTATCAAATATAGAGAAGAGACATTCATTTTTTAAAAATAAAACTTCGTTGATATATTTTCATCGAAACGATCCTGCCTATTCTTCCAATGTTTCCCGCCAGATTTTACGGTTTTATCGATTTCCGCCGCGTGTACGACGGCATCGGACCCGTTAAGGGTTAAAGCGAAAACCGTGCGGTACACAGAGTAACGCGGTATCAATGATCGTCCGGGTCCGAGCCCGAAAGTATGCAGCCTATGCTGTCCGAGACAAAGGCTAGCCGGAGGTCCCGCGATTTCCATCCGCGAGAAAGAAGGGGCAACAAAGGACGAATCCGGCGGTGTTGCAAAAAACCGGCGAATGACTTTCAGAACGGCAGAGGCGGACGATCATTAATATCGCCGGGGATGATCAATCAAAGAACGTTGGGACTTACTTTGGTGGACGTCGTACTGGGCCTGGTACCACCAACACTGATCGCGTACAGCTCCACCTCGTACCACTGGATTCCAGTTTCCCTGTCGAGCGCGGCGGCCGTCGACAGCATACCTGTCTTCGTGTCGACGTCGAACAATCTGTCGACCTGCGGACCACCGCTACCAGCGGTCACGTTCGTCACGTAATATTCGAGATCGATGTTGGATCTGCTGCTGCGAGCGGTCACCCTGAGGATGTCGGTGCCGATCTGTTCGTTCTCGTCCACGCTGCCTTCGATCTGTCCGCGGTGCTCCCAGACCAGTTGGTTACCGCCGGGATCGTCGCCGGGCACAATAATGGTCAGATAGGTCTCCGTCCACCTTCTGTCGGCCTGCACAGCCTCGTCGGTGGCTCTGACGCCGATCTGGTACTTGGACACCTTCTCCAGGCTGCTCTTCAGCGACCTGGACAGCCTCATGGTCAAGAGACCGGTGTTCCTATGAATACGGAACATGTCGGAATAGTTGACGTTGGATCTCAGGAGCTCGTAGGTGAGCTTGCCGTTCGTGCTAGAGTCCAGATCTTTGGCTACCAACTGGCACACCACGACCTCCCCCTGGTAATGAAGACCGTGCAACGGCATCACCACCGCGGACATGCTGACGAAGATCGGATCGTTGTCGTTGATGTCCTCCACTATCACGGTCACCAGCTTCTCCGCGGACAGCCTGGCGCTGGGTGGCTGAGCTTTGTCCGTGGCTACCACCACCAGCTTGTACGTGTCGACTTCCTCCCGGTCGATCGGCAGCAACGTGTGTATCACCGCCGTGGACGGATTTATGTCGAACCGTCTCATTTGGTCCTCCGGGTCCTGGCTAGCGATGGAGTAAGTGACCTCGCCGTTCTCGCCGGAGTCGGGGTCCTCCGCGGTGATCGTGACGATCGGGGTGCGCACGGGGATCCCCTCGCGGATCTGCCTGGCGATCGCGGTGTTCGGGAACACCGGCGGATTGTCGTTCGCGTCGATCACCTCGACCAGCAACGTCGTCACCGAGCTCAGCCGTGGATGGCCACCGTCGCTGCAGCTCACGTGCAACGTGTACCTCTCCAGCTCTTCGTAGTCCAACGGTTTGCGCAGGTACAACGTGCCGGTCAGCGGGTCTATGTAGAAGGTGTCCCGTTTGTTGCCGGCCGATATGGCGAAGGTCAGCTCGCTGTTCGGGCCCAGGTCGTTGTCCGTCGCTTTGAAACGGAGCAGCTCCGTGTTGGTCGGCGTGGTCTCCAGAACGGAGATCTTCGACTTGTTGTCGACGAACCGCGGCTGATTGTCGTTCTCGTCCAGCACCTCGATGTGCACCGTGGTGTTGGAGGACAGTCGCGTCTCCAAGCCGGCGTCGTGCGCCACCACGGTGAGGACGTAGTGGTCGGACGTTTCTCTGTCGAGCTCCTTCATCAGCGAGATCTGGCCGGTGGCTTCGTCGATGGCAAAGTGTCCGTGCTGGTTGCCGTCCTCCAACGAGTAGAACACGTCCCCGTTCAAACCCTCGTCAGCGTCCGTCGTGTAGACTCGGAGCAGCTGGGTGCCGGTCGCCGCGCCCTCGTTCACCTGCACCCTGTACGGCAGCCTCTGGAACTGGGGAATGTTGTCGTTCACGTCGGTGATGTATATGACGACCTTGACCCGGTCCCGAAGCCTGTTCGCCCCGTTGTCGGTGACGGTCGCCTCCAACGTAACGTAGCTGCTGTCGGTGTTGCCGACCAGCTGCTCCCTGTCGAACACCCTGAGCGACTTGATGAAGCCGTTCCTAGGATCGACGACGAAGTCCTGCTGGCTGGCCGGCAGCGAGAACATCAGATCGGCGTTGCGGCCGACGTCGCGATCGGTGGCCAACAGTTTGCCGACGAACGTGTCCGGCGGCTCGTTCTCGCGGAGATGAAAGATGAAGCTGGAGTTGGTGAACTCGGGCGCGTTGTCGTTCTCGTCGATGATGTGCACCACCACCGGGACCACGGAGCTTCTCGCGGGACTCGCCTGATCGGTGGCGGTCACTTCCAACGCGTAATAGTCTTGCTCCTCTCGATCGAGCACGTTCTTCACGTACAACTGGCCGTCGGGGAAGATGCCGAACCTGGCCTCGGCGTTCCCGTCGGTGACGCTGTAGAGGACGCGGCCGTTGGCGCCGAGATCGGCGTCGGTGGCCGTCAGGGAGAAGAATCGGTCGTTGACCGGCGTGGACTCCGGCAGAGAGGTCTCGTAGCTGGTCAGCTTGAAGACCGGCGTGTGGTCGTTCACGTCCTCGATCGTCACCCTGATCTGATGCTGCGCGGATAGCGACTGGTTTCCCGAATCGGTCGCGGTCACCTCCAGCTGCAGCACGGTGCCCGGCGGTGCTCGGATCGGCCTGTTCAAGTAGATGATGCCCAAATTCTCGGCAACCCGGAACTGCTCGCCGGGATTGTGCGTCAGGGAGTAAACGATCCTGGCGTTGGCGCCCGCGTCCCGGTCCCTGGCGCGGGCCAGACACACCTCCTGACCTACAGCGGCGTTCTCCTTGAGGAACACCTCGTCCCCTATCTCGCCCTTGGGGAACCTGGGCGGGTTGTCGTTCACGTCGAGCACGACCACGTTCACGGAGGTCTGCCCGTAAGCGAAGCCGGCTCTCGCGGACAATTGCAGAGTGTGGTGGGCCATCTCCTCGCGGTCCAGACAACTGGAAGTGGCGATCGTGCCGGTGCTCTCGTCGATCTCGAAGTTGCCCTTGGGATCGCCGTACACGATCGCGTACGAGACCTTCGCGGCGCCGTATTGCGTCACCTGGACGGTGCCCACTTCTCTCCGGACGAACAGGTTCGTCAAGGAGTCGCACTTGCCCCTGTCCTCGGCGACACGCAGCTCGTACCCGTTGTACGTTTTGAACTCGAGCTGCTCCAGATCCTCTTTCCGAATGATCTCGACCACGGCGTTCCTCACCGCGGTTTTATCCCCGGTGTCCTTCGCCGATATCTCCAGCTCGTACAAAGTCTTGTGCGCCGCCCTCATCGAGCCCTGAAGCGATATCTCGCCGGTTCGCTCGTCCACGGTGAACAATCCCTCGCCGCCGGATTCCAAGGAGTATCTCACCTGCGCGTTCTCCCTGGCGTCGGCATCGGTCGCCGTCACCTTGCCCACCGTGGTTCCTGGCGGGGCGCCTTCCGGTATGGGCATCAAGTACCTCCACGGGTAAAAAACTGGCGCATTGTCGTTCACGTCCTCGAGAGTCAACACCACGGTCGCCGTGGACGACTGGGGCGGCGTGCCTTGATCCTTCGCGATCACCAGGATCCTGTACTCCGCGGTGGTCTCTCTGTCGAGCGGGATCTTCGTGGTCAACTGGCCGGTCAGCCCGTCCAGCGCGAACGTTTTCGGATAGTCCCTGGACACGCTCGAGTGAAAGCTGTAAGCGACGCTGCCGTTCGTCCCCTGATCGTTGTCCACCGCGGTCAGAGTCGCCACCAGGCTCTGCGGGGGCGTGTTCTCCGACAAAGTGACCTCGACGACGCTCTGCGAGAAACCGGGTGCCTCGTCGTTCTCGTCGAGGATCGTCACCTTCAGATGCGTCCATACGTACTTCGGATTCGGTCCGCCGTCCCTGGCCGACACGCGCAGCTCTATGCTGCCCTGGACCTCTCTGTCGAGCGTGGCGACCGTGGTGACCAGTCCGGTGTCCTGATCGATGGCGAACCAGCCTTGCTCGTTGCCCGAGTCGAAACCATAATAAATCCTGGCGTTGAGGCCCGAGTCCGCGTCGGTCGCCGAGATACTGGCGACGAAGCTGCCGGTCGGCGATAGCTCCGAGAGCACCGCCGAGTACTCGCTCTGCTGGAAGACCGGTTCGTGGTCGTTCACGTCGTTCACGTGGATCACCAGATAGGCGGTCGCGGATCTCGGTGGCGTGCCTTTATCGGTCGCCACCACGGTCAGATTGTATTTCGGGATCTCCTCGCGGTCCAGCCGGCCGTTCACGTGCACGATGTCGAAGCTCTGGGTGTTGTCCAGCCGGAAATGGCCGAGCTCGTTGCCGGCACGGATCTCGACCGACGTCTCGCCGTTCAGACCCTCGTCGTTGTCGATCACGGCGACCGCCGCGACGATCGAGTCTATCGCCGCGTTCTCGTCGACGGTCGCGTAGCCCGGTGTCGGCGGGAAATAACTGAACTTGATCTCCGGATCGTGATCGTTCGCGTCCAATAGATTCACCGTTACATAGGTACGACCGTCCTGCCGTGGCGAGCCGTGGTCCCGAGCGAACACCGTTATCACGCAGCTCTTTGGGCAGCCGCCACCCGGACGCGCGCCGATCGTGCAGCTCTGCTGCGGACAGTCCAACGGCTCCACGGTGGTGATGGTACCGGTCTCCGGGTCTATGGTGAACTGACGTTCCGAGTCCGGCAGATAGTACGTCAGCTTCGAGTTGTCCTCGGAGTCCTTGTCGGTCGCGTGCACCGTCAACACCTTGGTGCCGGCCGGCGCGCTCTCGTTCAACGCCACCATGTAATCGCTCTGCTGGAATATCGGCGGATTGTCGTTCACGTCCAGCACGGTCACGTTCACCAGCAAGTAGCCCAGCCTGGCCGGCCTGCCTCTGTCCCTCGCGCAAACGTTCAACGAGTAATACTCGACCTGCTCCCGATCCAGTTTACCGGTGGTCTCCAAGTGTAGATAAGAGGTCTCGCCGGTCGGGTTACCGGTCACCTCGAGCCGAAACTTTCCATCGGTGTTACCGTCCACGATGAAGTAGTCGTCGACGACCCCGTTCTCGGGCGTGTCCCTGTCCGTCGCCGCGTCCAGCAACAGCTTCGTTCCGACCACCGCCGATTCCGAGAAGCTGACCGCTATGCTGGACTCCGGGAACTCGGGATCGTTATCGTTGATGTCCGACACGAGGATCCTGACCTCGATCGGGTACGTCGGCTGGCTGGACAACACGACCAGGTCGAACCTGTCGCTGCTCAACGCCTCCCTGTCCAAAACCTTCGCCGTGCGGATCGTGCCGGTCTTCGGGTCTAAAACGAACTCCTGGGGCGGTTCGTTGAACCGATAGGTGAAGCCCGACATCATCGGTATCACGCCGACCATCGTGTCCTTCGGCTCGCCCTCCCTGACCTGCAGCAGAACGCTGGTGTCCGCCGCTCTGCTCTGCATCGCCAGGCCCATCATAGCGCTGTCCTGCGGCAGCATCGGCGACCTTCGCGGCACCAGCCGCGTCACCCTCTGCGGTATCTTCCGGGTGTAATAGTACTCGGCCCCGTCGTTCCCTCGCGTCTCCGCGGCGTTCGCCTGGCCGCCATTTTGGTCCACCGACAACAGTCCCAGGACCAGGACTAGGACCATCGATCTTCTTATGATCATCTCTTCTGTCCCTCGGACGGGCCCCCTTCCTTAACCAAATTCTTCTCGCGGTTCGACGACATATAAAGGTAACAAGGCCTTTGGGGGTTTCCTGCCACTACCTATCGTTCCTCGTCCTCATCGTCCACGGCAATTTCATTCTCTCCTCCGGGTTCACGTGACCGGCCGTGTACAGAACATGGTATACCGTGGATCGGATCAACGTTCCAACCGGTCGCGCGAATGCCTCGCGGATTCCATGCTTTCCTCTCCCGCGCCTCCTATCTCTTCCTCCTTCTCTCGTTCCCCCCGATATCTTTTCTTTCTAATGGATGGCCTCTTTCGCAGCCGACTCGACTCGACTCGACTCAGCTCGACTCGACTCGACTCGACTCAACTCGAAATCGGCTTAAGCGCGATCTTTCGAGGAAGGTGTCCGGCTCGCTCGATATCGTTCCGTTCTGTCTCTGTCGGGCTTCCTCTCTCTCTCTCTCTCTCTCTCTCTCTCTCTCTCTCTCTCTCTCTCTCTCTTTCTCTCTCTTTCTCTCCGTCCGTCTCTCTCTCTCCGGCTCTCTGTTTCTCTTCTCCCCCGTGGGTTCCCTCGCTTTTCGTCTCCCTCGCGGAGCAAGAAAGTCGGGTACGCGAGGTACTCGAGCCGACAGAGGGGGCAGTGACCCGCGTGCTCGCGCCGAGCCGCGCCTCCTCGCGAAACGCGTCTGCCGCAGATGCTGCTGCGGATCCGCCGAACTTTTCCGGCCTGCCGTCGATCGCGGGACCGACGAACGAGATCGCGAACGCGATATCTTGATCCAAAAGGTCCCCGCTGACTGGCTGGCCGATTAAAACACGCCGTCGCTGCTTTGCCTTCTTATCCGGTGCTGCGTGCCGCTGGCAACCCGACCTCGCTCGTTTTTCCACGACCCGACACTGACACCGGCCCCACGCGGCACGGTACCGATAACACACTCTCACCGAGTCCAGAATCCGAACTCGCGATCGATCGATCGAACGAACGAACGATCGTTGGCTCTCCGGCGACGACGAGACCGCGACACCACTGATGGGGACCGCGGGGCCCCACGCGCACAGAACCACGTTCCCGAACTCGACACGCGGATCGCGATCGACGATCTCCGATGTTGTTGTCGTTACTGGCCCCCGCGATAGAGCTAGTCTCACACGGGACAGCCACGGGTACGGCGTGTTTCGCGGTCGCTGCGTTCCGATCGCTCGCCAGAATCGGGATCCATCGATCCGGAGCTATCGGAGTCGTAGTTCACCTACGATGGAATCTCACTTACGCGCGCGCGAGCACACACATACACACGCTATCTCGCGGCGTGTCTTCTCCGCTTTTCGCTTGAGGAGCGGGTGGATCTCGGGGGGGAGGGTGGGGGAGGGGAGCCGGACGGAAATTATGAAAAATCAAGCGGGTCGCGAGGACGATCGAGATGCTTCGGGGGACGATTTTTAGAGGATCGGGGGTGGCACGAACAGGATCGTGTGGATACGGGGACCGGGACCGGAGAGAAGAAAAGTGCGAGAAGAGGGAGTAATATAACGTGGGCCGTGAGCGCGACGACGTAAGACCCCGAGAACGTACCACGAAGAAAATCACCTTCCCGAGGACTGACCTGACTCGACTGAACCGAGACGGTCCCAGAACCTTGCTGCTGCCGGGAGAAGCATTCTTCAGGCCGGCCGACGCGCCGTCCCTCTCCGATCCATCGGGCCCACCGTATGCTTCCGTTTCTCTCGCTCTTCCCCGACTCCTCCCTCCCCTCCCGCCGTTCACGCCCTCCCCCTACTCTCCGCGGCCTGCTCGACCCTTCCATCGATATCGCTTTTTCTCTTTCTACGAAAGAAACCCTGACCCTCCTTCTCCCTCCACGAACGCATAGTCTTTCGTTCGTCCTCCTCCAGCGCTTTCGTTTCTCCTCGTCGGTCTCTCGTTTCTCGCTTTTGCAACCCTTTATCGATATCTCCTCGCTCCGTCCGCCTCGTGTAACATTTCATCGGCGGTCCCGCTCGCGCACTGGGCCCCGGGCCCCCTCCCTCTCTTTCTACTTTTTTCTAGTCTCCGTCCTACTCCGCTTCGATTTTCCCTACCTCGAGCATCGATACGTCTTTCCTCCTTTGCGGCTCAACGGGCATTTTAGAGGAACCTCTTCTGGGCCCGTTCCCTCTCCCCCCTCTCGCTCTCTCTTACTCGCGCGCGCGCGCGCTCTTCCTCTGTTCTGCTATCGTTTCTATACCCTAACTGTCTGTCACACTCCACGGCGACGTCTCCCTCTCCGATAACGCCTACTCTGTCCCGCCGCGGAACGTCGCCGTTTTCCCTCCTCGTTCAGCGAAGCATTCGCAGGACCCTCCTTTTCTCATGCCAACCATCTCTGTTCCTTTCTCGCCGGGCCCCACGCGCGATCCGTCCTTGTCCCCTTCGGTAGTCTTTCTATCTTGTACTCCCTCCCTCCCCCTTCGCTCGCACGGGGTACCACTTCCTCGCTCCTTCGGGCCGCCGTCTCTTTCTCTTTCGCACCGCAGGTGCGCCAACTCTTTCCAACCATCCACGCTCTCTCGTTCCAGTGAAGCATTCGCGGGCCCTCTTTTTCTCAAGCCCGAGAGTCCGACCGTCTTCCTCGGACCCGGGCCCACGGTCTCGCTCTCCCTCTTCGCCTCGGGGCACGCTGGTCCGGCCGGGACTCCGGTAACCCCTCCGTGGGTCCCAACCGTTGGCCCCCGCGCCCCCGTGCCTGCCGCGGAGCGCCCCCGTTCCCCGTCCCCCGTGACCCCCCCTGCTCCCCGCCACGGCCGTTATCCTCCCACCTTGGAACTCTCTATCCTCGCGCATCCCGGCATCGTCGTCTCGCGCTGAGATATTCTCCCTTTTGCCCTCGAGGAACGAGCAATGCGGAGGCTCAGGTATGCAAGATGGCCGCCGTCGAGGAGCGCTCTTCGCGACGAACAGCGGAGGACCGCTCACGGGCGAGCACGAGCGAGAGAGGGACAGAGGGTTCCAGAGAAATGGAGAGAGAGACGAACCGTCGTAAGGGGGACCGAGAGGACCGGCGTTTAGACAAGGCGGGACAAGGATCAACGTATCGAGATGAATAATGCGCGGGGGAGGAGAGGAGGTAGTATCGGAAAGGGGCGAGAGAGGTGGGATGACAGGGGTGTGGGACGAACGAGGAAGAGTGGGACCGGAGACGTTCGAACGGAGAGGTCCAGAAGACCACGATGCCGTAGATATATATCCGCGTATAGACCCTATAGCCACTTTTATAACTAATCCGTTACCACGATCGAACGCTTCGAACGCTTCGGCTCTCGAACGGACCCCGGTCCCTTCCCGGACCCCCTCGTCCACGAACCCCCGCGACTCCCTTGCTCCTGCCCCACCGACTTGCATTTTCGCCTGGCAGCGAGCCACGCTACACAACCGACTAGATTCTCCTCGCTGTTTTCCTTTAATCTAGTTTACTGGGTACCCGCGATCTGTACGAGCACCGGCTAGCAATGGGACCAACCGCGTTGCGACCGTTCTGCTCGACCAACGGAGGCTCCGTCCTCCGGTTTTTAAAGGGTCCGCCGGACCTTCGGGAAAAATTATTCCCGTCCCTCGGATCGACCGATAGATCCTGTTCCGTGAAATTCTGTTCGCCTGTTAAAACGACGGTACGTTTGTTTTACGATGATTCGCAAAAAACTGAGGTCGGAGCGCAGAGTTCCGTTCAACTTCCTGCGTACGCGATGGATTACGTTTCCCATGTAATGGGAAACGCGTTGCTCGTTCGTCGGCGAAACGGTTGCTGGGTACATTCCCGAGCAACGTTCCGGCCGGTGATGCGATTTTGCGAGCACGCGCGGCGAACTTGGTCCCATCGCTAGTCCCCCAACGATATATCAGGCCGCGGTATGAGTGCTTGGTGTTAGAAAAGTCCCTGCGCGGCGCGCTTATCGGGGAACAAGTCGATACACGATCGTACCACTTCGAGCCACGCGTTTTCTTTCGAATCGTCGATTCCGGATCGCATAGGATATTCAGCATAGGATCGCTTCGGTCCCCTTCCTCGCCGTACTCCGGGGCCCCTTGGATCTCGGAGTTTTCATTTTTTCCCTATCCGCCAGAACCAATAAGCTTCGCGAATCGAGCTAATGATAAACCTTGACCAGGTTATTCATTTATTGCTTATTTATGTACCTGTAAATGGAGTAAATTTTCCGACTCCCATTTACGCGCGATTTACAAACGCTTCCAGCGACCTGCGAAACGATCTTCTTGTCAGCCTATCAACCTTCGATTGTTAGAATGCGAGTAAATGAATTTCATATAAAATTCTATAATTGTCTTCCCAAAAAAATTTTTTTAGATGCAAATGCTGAATTTTTTACTAAACTGAAAGATTTAATTGTACAAACATATAATGCAAACCAACAGACTCCTGTAACATTGTTAGCACACAGCTTGGGTGGACCAATGACACTTATTTTCTTACAACGTCAAAGTCAAGCATGGAAAGATAAATATATTAGTTCTTTAATTACACTTTCGGCTGCTTGGGGTGGTTCTGTCAAAGCCCTTAAAGTTTTTGCTGTTGGTAAGTAATAAACAACATTTAAATTTAGATTTCTTAATTTTACTTTTAATTTTATATGTAACTGCAGGGGATGACTTGGGTGCATATCTTCTTCGTCAAAGTATCCTGAAAGATCAATAAATAACTAGTCCTAGTCTAGGTTGGTTATTACCATCAAAATTATTTTGGAAAGAAACAGAAGTGTTGGTGGAATCAAGTGAAAAAAACTACACATTGTCAACTTTAAAAGATTATTTAATGTAAAGTATGATGTATACAATCTGCACTCTTTTTTTAATAGTAAAAGCAACAACAAAATTTTCCGTCCCCCATTTACGCGCGATTTACAAACGCTTCCAGCGACCTGCGAAACGATCTTCTTGTCAGCCTATCAACCCTCGATTGTTAAAACGCGAATACTAATTTTCTAGCTTATACGAGGCGCGATAAACGGATCGATTCGAAAGTAAGTTCGATATAATATATGGAAAGTTAAAAGGGATAGAAGATAATCTGACGCGATGCTGGATTAAGAGGAATTTTTAAATGACTGCGACCAAATGAATTGAGTATGTTTCACTCTACTACTGTAAGACGCGTCGGCTGGCTCTTCACGGCCATTACTACTTGTTTCTCGAAGCTCCCGCTCCCGCTCGTACCTCCTGTATAATTAAATTAATTATTCCTGCCGCGGCGCGTAATAATAAGCAAACGCCGACGCCGATCGCGCGGGCGCGCTCGCGCGAGTGAGCGAGCTCGCGCGCGTTAGAGGAAGAATATGGAATAGAAATTCTATTCCGGTCTCATGCCATTCGAATAAATGTCAGGATCCCCCCTCGGGTTTCGGGCCCTGCAACCTTTCTAATAACGCGGGGGTACCAACAAATGGCACATGCACGCGCGTTCCTGTACCGCTGAACGTCGATTATTAATCATGCGCGTACCGGCCGGGCATCCTGCCGCACCCTCCCGCGCGACAAATATTTCGTATTAACCCCGGCTCCAACGGTAACGAATAATTTAATAATATCTTCCACGAAATCATATTCTCTCTAACGGACCATCAATTAAATATGCTGCTCCCGGGAACCAATCGGTGCACAGCGCCGAGCATGAAAACTGAGACAATTAAATCTTTAAGATGTAAAGTGGTGCCCCGGTGCTGGCGGACGTGTACATAGAGGAATAAATGTATATTAACAGGTATAATTGTACTTTATAAATCGCAGTTTTTGATAATGAACAATCTCCCGAACTGTCAACGATATTCGACCGAATGGTTTCCGAGTGAATTAAAAGTTAACCCTTTGCACTCGAGCGGTGACCCCGAGGCACACCACTGAAATTGTTACATCACGTTCCAAGACAATCTTTATATTATAAAAGCTTAGATATAAAAAGATTATTAAAAGCCTAATTGTTGTACGAGTCACAAGAGACTAAATTTTATGTGCATAAAATGCACTTTGTCATATAAAATAGAAGTACCATAAGTCAGAAGAATGAATTTAGATTTATAGTCAAAATGGCTTCGAGTGCAAAGGGTTAACATAGATACAGTAGCTCCGGAAAGATTCGATAATATGACTAAAAAATATCGTACACCAAAGTTTATGGTGTTGTAAAGAATAGGCTTTGATCTCCAAATCTATGTTAGTATCAGTCATGAAAAAGGAACTGCTCAATGTATTTCAAACGTTTCAATCTTCGGAACATTTTCAATAAGGAGCATGTCTTCAGTTTCTCATTTGCAGTATTATGCGAAAGCATGTTACAAGAAAATGAACAAAACGTAGCAAACGTAAAAGCTTTCAGCTTTAAAATGAGTCCAGATTCATTGTTGTGCGACCCTTTCTTACAAAATTATAACCATTTAAATATCGACAATTTGTCTGAAATCGGAAATTTAGTAGACTCGCCGAAGCCACTGTCTATTAAATTAAATAGTCCGGGTACTTTTTATGAGGATATTACATCAAAGAGGAAGTTATCCGTGCGACGCGTGTCGGCGAATCGCGGCTCGTAAATCTTATCTGACTGGGCATCGTGATCCGTCGCGGGCCGGGTCGGGCCCTAAGCGACCGGGCCCGGAAATCTGATCGTTTTCCGCGTAGGTAAGCGTAACGATCGCCAACGCTCTGTTTATCTTCCAGGTCTGCGGAGCGAAGAAGGTTCGTGGCGAGACCTCCTAACGACTGATTTCGCAGGGGCCCTGCCGGTGATAAATTCGTGGCGCGATCATTCCTCACTGGGGAAACGCCGTTTTGCGCCCACTTGTCTAACATTATATTTCGAGCAGCGGCCCATATACGGCCCAGCATCGGCCGTGAAACAGTAAAATTCTATCTGGCTACCCGACCGTCACGTGGGCGTTTACACGCAACAGCTTCATTGTTTCACCAAGCAATAACTGTAACACGTTTCCCCTGTTTATCTTCGGCTATTCCGCTCGCGCAGAAGACGTATCGATTCGCGCTTCTGAATCGCCCTCGGATAAAACTATCTCGTGAACCGGCATCGTTTGCTGCCTACCGAGCCGATAAAGCACGCAAAACAGCCTTAAATGCAGCGGCCAGACTTCGGGTATGGGAAAAAACTATGTTATTCGCTGGACCAATAAGTAACCCGCTATCTCCCATTATATCGGTGCTGCCTATGCGGTGGATTCGAAGGTGAGGTGAAGGTTTACCGATGGAGGAGATTGGTACTTTTTACGTGGCTGTTCGACAACTTTTGACTCTGAAAATACGCTGTGATTTTTGCATGCGTGCAGGAGATTCTCATTATAGTTTTAATACAGTGAATGGGGTCACCTTGAATACTCATTGTTCCTAATGTGACGATAAAAGTTCTCAGTAGATTATTTTAGTAAAAAATGTGCCTTTGGAGAAATCTTCCCTCCATGATACTGCGTTTTGGTAACGAGGACGAAAATAAAATAGTTGTCACTGTTGTACTTCTGAACATCACACACTCTCGGAAATGAGATATAGATTTTTATTACAGTTCTCTGCACAGTATAAAACGATATCATTGAACAATTACGTCCTAGGTGCTCCATACGCATCTGGCATTCTCTCTATGTTGTATCTGTGTTGGTGAACGAACATTATAGGCACTCCGGGAATTTTTCTTATCCGCCTTTTCAAGTCTTTGTCGTTTGTAGCCACGATGTAACACTTGTGCTGAAATATTGTGTCAGGTGTTTAAGTACTGGTGATAATCTTTCTATTTGTACTAATAGATATGCTTACCTGAGTCACTCTGTTAACTATACAATCATCTGCGTAAGTTCCTGTGTGTATGCAGTTTAATCTTTCAAATCTAGGATCCTTTATAATTTTCAATGCTATTTTATACTTTGATCCAAGCTTTTCCAATTCACCTATCACGCAATCTGTTACATATGGTATACACTTCGCATACAGACATTGCATCATACTTTCTATAACATCTAATTTATTTTTAATTGAGAAATTAATGAAGTTCGTGTCTATTAATATATGATATGGGGGACCCAATTGTGTGTTATATTGAAAGAACAACGCCGAAGACTGCTGAGGCCTGTGAAAATGTTTCAATTATAATTAACGAACAGAAAGTATTGGGCACTTAACGATACGTACACTTCTTTTATTTTCAGCTTAGTTGGATCCTCCTTCTTAGGTTTCATTAATCCTATCCTTTTTGCAGGCTTTCTGTAAACGAAGAATTAACATTTTGTAACAAGTTTATAAACGATTCTCTTTGATCAAACATTTTTTGTAACTAGAAAATTCACTTACATTCTAGCGTCATTTAGATTTATCATCTTCTTCATTTGTGCAAATTTCTGCATAACAACTTTTCGAGTCTTCTTATTCTTCCCCTGTGAAAAAACAAAGTAATGAAAATGTGTGTCAGTCATGTTATGTAGTAAATCTAGAAATAGTTATCAGAGATCTTCGAAAAAATAACCTAGAAAACATAATTTACATACTTTGGTAAGAATATTTTACCGTCCAACGCCATTGAATTTATAAGATCCTAAAGTATAAATTTATAGAGTTCTAAAAGTACTTACCATTGTTGTTTGATATTTAAAACGCTTTAATATTAATCTAGCAATGTACACACGCTCCCGACAAGTAATCTGTCAAAATATATAAAATATTTTCTGACCATGTGCGCATGTGGTATCATACTTTTATCAGCGCCGCCAATCGCATACTATCTGTACTAGAAGATGACAATAAAATATGATACATACGCATGCATATTTAATTGCATATTATTCATATGCAATATATTTACATTTTATTTATTGAATTCTCTTGAATTGATATCATGTTTTAAGAATCATTAGTTTCAATCATTTTAATTAATATATATATGTACATATATCATACTCGAGACGTGTATATTTTCCTATTCTATCCAGATTCAGGACTTTTCGAAAGTACATATAACGCCATCTACGACAAAACATCCAAGCTCAAGTTACTCTTATTGTAAACAGAGCATAAATAAGAACACATATACATATGCATATGCAAATGACACGTGTAATGTGTACATAACTACAGAATGCTCTAATTTACTTTAAAACTTTCCAGTCGAGCTTGAATAATGAGTTCTGATTTTAAATACACGGCTTTGGTAACAGGATTCGGTCCATTTAGTGGTCATGATGTTAACGCAAGCTGGGAAGCTGTAAAAGAATTAAAGAAACTATCTGACACTTCGAAAGAACTGAAAAATGTCAAACTGATCATTAAGGAGATTCCAGTTTCCTATGACGACGTATCTGCTTATCTGTCCAAGCTCATAGAAGACTACAATCCAACGGTAATGTTCTTATGTTTCTACAAAATTTGAATTACATATACCATTTGAAATATGAATAGTTTTCTCTTCTAGGTAATTCTGAATGTAGGTGTATCTAGTTTAGCAAAATGTTTAACATTAGAATGTTGTGCTCGCAGTTGTGGCTATGTAAGGCCAGACATATATAATAAATGTCCAGATGAAAGTACTATTACATCTGAGATTTTTAAAACTAATATCGATGTCCATGAAGTTTGTAAAATAATTAATGAAAGCTCAGAAGAAACAAAATGTAGTGCATGCATTTCGGACAATGCAGGCCAGTTTCTATGCGAATATATATTTTACAAATCTCTGCAAATGAAATCTCTGAAAGTACTATTTGTTCATGTTCCAGACTTGAATGTTTATTCAAGTGCTCAAACTGCAAGAGGTTTGTATCACATTTTGTGTTGCATGATTAAGGGTGTTGGATATCTGGAATCAAATGTTACTGAGGAACAAGAAAACCAGTATATTAAAAACAGTGTATGAAATGTCTTTTTAATAAAAATTAATAACTATTAAAAATCTTATTATTTTCTTCTCTATGATCCTCCATGTTGGAATCTTGTACGTTCCGGTGGTATATTATACCTCAGTTCAAGAAATTCTGGTTTCCTTATCATAGATGCTACATGACCCATTTGAATTGTACAGTCAGGATTTAAATTCGGAGGCAGTTGTGTGCATTCTCTTTCCAAGATGCATGCCAATCCTTCCAAAAGTTCCACAAAACCCATAGATGCAGCTGCTCTGCGTAATCTGTTGACTTCCTATATCAAAATATATGCATTAGAAACTATAATATTTCATTGTAAAACAGATAAGATCAATTTTAAAAATATTATATATTTACCTTATAAAAGTTTTGTGTCTTCTCCGGCAATTTTCTTGCGTGTCTCAAAATTTTCTGTATATCAGACTGTAATCCAACCTGACGAATCCAGGAAGGTGCATTCTGTGTGTAGCTTCGTTTTTCATTTGGTCTAACTGGAAAACTAGCAGCATTTCCTTTAACTGGATCAACTGGCCCTAAATTGTTGAAACAGCCTAACCAGGGTACAACATCTAGACCTGGCTCTAATACTGTTAACATTAAATTTGACTTCTTTTTTGTATCAGCCCATGAGTATATAAAGCCGTACCATTCATTGCTCAACAAACAGAGTGCTACCATATTTTCGACCTACAAACAATTCATCTTAAATTACTGATATACAAATTCCATAATTTCTTAGAGTACTACCTTCAATGCTCCATGCAATAACACACAAAAGGATGGTATTTTTCCCTCATCGCCATTCTCATCTGTGTCTGAATCTTCTTCTAAAGATATACCTTGCATACTTGGACTTTTTTCTGTAGCTAATGGTAAAACTAAATGCCTGGATATTGCACTGGGGCTTCCAACATCTGCTACAGATATAAATCCACAGATTTCTATGGTCTTTGATATCATCAAACCAGATACTAATTCAAAATCTGTTTTCTTGGTATAGGGCTAAAACATACAAATGCAAGTTTAGAATTTAACGTTTACATTCATTTCTTGAATTCTGTACTGCTTACCATTGGTGCAGGTGATAAAAAAATACATGAACCTAAATTGCCACATTTTAAGTACCCTTGGAAAGAAATATAATTAGTTTCAGCTAATTTTTGGAAACATGTTGTAACTGATTGCTTCGAGAGTGGTGATTCTGGTACAAGTACTACGCTATCACCACCAGCCAATTCAACTAGTCTTTGATAAAGTGGCAAACCCACGTGCAAACCAGCATCTGTCCATGTAAAAAATTGAAGAATGTTATTTAATATAGTCAATGATTTAGTTGATTCACCATATATGCAGTTTATGTATATACCTTGTTGTGGCGCAATGCATACGATACTTAACTTTCCTGGATATGGAAAAGGTAATGGAAATGGATTTACATCTCTGGTTATATTTAAAGAATTCAGAGAATCACCTAATGACATTGGACCAACTCCAGGATTACCATCCGTAATTAAAACTACCTGACAGGCTGTGGTATTACCCCACTCTGCCATAATAACATTGTTAACTCCGTGAAGAGCAGTCTCAATGCACGTCTTGTCACATTCTTCTATATTTTGTAGTTTAGCACGTATACTATCATAGTCACGCGTGAAGGGGCAAATGACTTCGTACAAAGAAGAAAACACAACCTAAAAAGAAAAGAAACAATGCATTGAATTGTAGATAACAATGGAGTAATATATACATATGCTAAACTGCACTTACTAAAGATACAAATTCCAGCTTCGAATTTACTTGTAGATAATGTAATAATGCATTTATTCCGTGTATAGCTAGATGATGCCTTGTCAACTGTTCGTTTGGATTATTCTCACAAGTTACATTTCCTAATATTGGACGTCTCATTGACAGAGATACATCCAATGCTATAACTGTTGGCATTTTTTAATTTGAAATTTGAACATTCGCTTACATTCGCATATTCTATGAAAGTACTTTGTTCGTTTGTTAACTACGCTCTCAACTCTACTAAAACTTTTAGGTTAATAGTGTTTTCTATTTCTAATACGAGCTATAGAAATTAACTGGTACATACACGTTTCTTATTCATTTCAATTAACAAACACGTACATATTTTATATTCATTTTGATCTTATTTACTATTTTTCATATTTATCATACAAATGTTGTGA